AGCGGGAAGATGATGGGCCCATAAAGTGGGCCTGTGCCTTTTATAAAAACAATGGACATTCTCTGTGGGTCTGAACTACTGTTACCCTTTTAAAAGTAAAAACAGCTATGCCAATCAAGGCACACAAATCCCTAGGAAAAATATTAATATGTAAATTCTACCTTTTAAAAAGCTAGATGGTCCATCAATGACTTAAATGTGTCTACAGAAGATCCTATGTAATAAATACACCAATTCTCCCTTAGGTAATCTAAAAATTGTGGTATATTTCCACAATATACAATATGCAATATACAATAGTAACAGGTGGACTAAAACTACACACAACTCCACGGTGGAGGACTATGGGTGATTTGGTGATGGGTGCACTATGGTGGGGGTACCTGAGAGGGGAACCCTAATACTTCCAAAATACCACCATTAATGTTAAGCCAGTGTTACCTCAATTTAAATAATTGTTTTTTTTTAATATATACAACAATATGACTGAATCTCACAGAAATAATTTTAAACAAAAGAAGCCAAACTCAACAGTGTACAAACTGTGCAATTCTCTTTATATGAAAAACAAAAACAGGCACAACTAGTTCCTGTTACTAGGAGTCAGAAGTGTGGTTACCCTGTTCTCGTTCTGTATTTGGGTGCTGGTTACACAAATGGGCTCCACTTCTGAAAATTCATCAAGATGTGTATTTTTCATTTATGCACTTTTCTGTACGTATGCCACACAGCAATTTTTTAAATTGTGGTAAAAAACAAGCAAGGTACAGCAATTCAAAAAAAAAAAAGCATGGTGGGGCCTCCCCTAGTGGTGCAGTGGTTGAGCGCTGGGCCACTGGCAAGGGTCCCACATGGCATGGCACACAGACCTCTCCTGTCGCACCCGCTGCTCCCCTCAGCAATGTATTTCGTCAGTCTGACTGTTCTGTTCCCCGATCTGGTGAAGTCTCTCACCCTCCCGTGCTTCTGACTGTACCCAGTGCTTGTATAAATGAATAAATAAATCTTTTAAAAAAAAAAAAAAAGCATGGCATTAGAACATGACCACAGAGATCAATGGAACATGAAAAATCCAGACATAAACCCACTCTATGACAATTTGGGTCTTAAAAAGGTGGCAAAGGAGAAATAGGGGCAATTCAGAGTTGGGTAAAACAAACAAAATAAAGTTGAATCTCTATCTCACAGCTTTCCACCAAAACAAACTCTAGGTGAAGCAATTATTTACATATAAGACACCATAACAGAATTTAAAGAAAATATAAGGTAACATTTTAATACTGTTGCGGTAGAGGGTGGTGTTATAAATATGATATGAAATCTTGAGGTTATCAAAGAAATTGCTGACAAATTCAACCTCATAAAATTATTTGCATGGCAAAAAAAAAATCAAAACAAAGTAAAAAACAGGACAAGCTGGGAAAAGAAAAAAATATTTTTAACTTACATATAAACAAAGAGCAAATATTAAGAAAAGAACTAATAATAAAAATGTGAAGTTTTTGGAAATTTACAGAAAAAATAAACTACAATTGCCACTTAAACATTAAAAGAAGTTCAAGCACATATAAGATCAATGAAAATTTTATTTTCAATCTAAACCAAGAAAAGGTCAAAAACAAAAAGGCTTGATAACACTGTAATGTAAGTATGTTATCAGATAGGTCCTTTTCATATATTGCTGATCGGAAAGAAAATTGGCAAAATTTCAAAGGAAGGCAATTACCAAGTACTATACTGTACCTAAACAAAATCCTCCTCAAACCTTGCTGATGGAATGAAAATGAGGAAAGGAATTTGCAAAATTGTTATCTATTCTTTTTTTTTTAAAGATTTATTTTTATTTATTTATACAAGCACTGGTTACAGTCAGAAGCGCGGAGGGTGAGAGAATTCAGCAGAGCCAGAGCAGGGAGCAGAGCAGGCAGAAGGACCGAAGTACACTTCTGAGGGGAGCAGCCGGCGGCAGGAGAGGTCTGCGCGCCATGTGGGACCCTCCTCTGGGGGCCGAGGAGCAGCCGGGGATCGAACTGGTGCTGCAGAGGCTGCGGGCAGCTTCACAACCCAGCGTTCAACCGCTGCGCCACCGGGGAGGCCCTATCTATTCTTTTTTTTTAAAAAAAGCACACACTTCTGTCACCTAGTATTTACAGACCTAAGTATTTATTATACAGTTATGCAAAAGCCAAATTAAATATATTTGGGTATCAAATACATTAAAGAACCGCTTGCATCCTTTGAACTTACTATAAAGCTTACACATAAGATACATGTCAATACATAATGTGTTGCTGTAGAAAGCTATCTAGACAATTAAAAAGGAAATTGCCAAATAGCATATATATGTCATCCACTGAGAAATATATAACAAATGCATATACATTATGGAATATGTGAAAAATTCATAACAATCTAGTAAACTGATAACCTGTTAGGGATGAGATTTGTTCACTGTAATAACCTATTTTCAATTTTGTGAAATGTGTATTAATCATTCAAAACAGACATATTTCTACATACAAGTTTTTAATAACCTAAGACATACCCCTATGTTTATAGCAGCACTATTTACAATAGCTAAGCTTTGGAAACAACCCAAATGCCCAAAAATAGATGACTGGATCATGAAGATGTGGTACATATACACCATGGAATATTACTTAGCAATCAAAAAGATAAACACATGCAATTTGCAGCAACATGGATGGAGCTGGAAGGGATCATGCTCAGCGAAATAAGCCAGAAAGAAAAATAAAAATACCGGATGGTCTTACTCTTAGCAGGAATCTAGAAAACCTAAATAAGGGACCAGGAAAAAGAATAACTATAAGAAAGAAAAAATCAAAATCAACAAACTATGAACCAGAGACACACTATGGGGGGGGCGGGGAAAGGAGGGTTTGGGGTCAAAATAAGGGGGTTGCAATTGTATGGGGAATATAAAAATAAAATTTAAAAGTTAAGACAAACTTTAAAAATACTAAGGGGACTTCCCTGGTGGCCCAGGCGGCTGAGCACCATGCTGTGAAGCTGTCCGCAGCCTCTGCAGGGCCAGTTCGAATCCCACATGGCATGACAAACCTCTCCTGTCTCTCCCACTGCTCCCCTCAGCAGTGTCTTTGATCCCTCTGCCTGTTCTGTCCCCACTCCTCCCCGCCGCTTTGTCTCTGGTGAATCCTCTCACCCTCACGCGTATATGCCCTGTACCTGGGTTCTTATATAAATAAATAAATCTTTAAATGAATAAATAAATCTATAAATCTATAAATAAATAATAAATAAATAAATAAATAAATAAATAAATAATACTAAAAAAAGGGCCTCCCGGTGGCGCAGCAGGTTGAGTGCAGCGCTATGACGCTGTCCGCAGCCTCTGCAGCGCGGGTTCAATCCCCGGCCAGGGAGATACACACATGGCGTCGCAGACCTCTCCTGTGTCTCCCGCTGCTCCCCTCAGCAGTGTACTTCAGTCAGCCTGCCTGTTCTGCTTCCCGCTCTGGCTCTGGTGAATTCTCACCACCACCACCCCCTGCGCCTCTGGCCTGTGCCCCAGTGCTTGTATAAATAAATCTTTTTTTAAAAATGCTAAGAAAGGGCCTCCCCGGTGGCGGCGTAGCGGTTGAACGCTGGGTTGCGAAGCTGCCCGTAGCCTCTGCAGCGCAACCTCTGCAGCGCTGGTTCGATCCCCGGCTGCTCCCCGACCACCGGAGGAGGGTCCCACATGGCGCGCAGACCTCTCCTGCCGCCCGCTGCTCCCCTCAGCAGTGTACTTCGGTCCTTCTGCCTGCTCTGCTCCCTGCTCTGGCTGTGGTGAATTCTCTCACCCTCCCGCGCTTCTGACTGTACCCATAAACTTGTATAAATAAATAAATAAATCTTAAAAAAAATGCTAAGAAAAACTGAGGCCCAGAAACATCTCCGAGTTGCCCAAAGATACGATCTTGCATTCACTCCACAAACACCCACTGAACGCAGATCAGGTGCCAGGTTCTATGACAGAGGCTAAAGCAAATGATTTCCACCTTACACAGAGCGCCCGGGCCGGGGGTGCCCCCGGGAAACGCCCAGCGCTGGGCGGCGGAGGGGCGTTGGCAGGGCCCAACCGTCCTCAACGGTCCGGAGACCTGGGGCGACTAGAACGCGCTCTTCCGAAGCAAACGGCCGCTCGCAGAAACCCCTTCCTCGCCCGCCCAGAAGCGGCCCCCGCGTGGGCCTTCGCGCCGAGCGCCCACCCTGCCCTCCCTCCCTCCCTCCCCAGGGCCCCCGCAGCTCCCTTACCCGGGGCGCGCGGAACGGGGGTCCCTCTCGGCCTGTCCTGCCGCCCCGCTCGTCCGTCCCTCGGCAGGGGCGCAAGCTCCCTGCGGCGCAGCTCCTTCCCCCAGGCCTCCTCGCCATCGCCACGAAGCCCTTTTCACGTTATTTTATTTTTAATGTGTTCCAAGTCTCCCGAGCGCCTGTCACGGTACGGGCGCCGGCCGACTCCTCAGGAGACCGCAGAGGACACAGCGCCCGCGCACCCCCACCCGCGGGGCGCCCCCGCGGCCACTGGGTTTCGGGGTGGCCCTGGCTCCGCGCAAAGGCGCTAACGTGCGAAGGGGACGCGCGCGACTGACCCCACCCCTCGCCCTGGGTACAAGCCCGGGGGCGCCGCCTTCCCCCCAAGGCTGAGGACTTGGGTTCCCCGGTAATTCGCGCAGAGGGGGACTTGGGGCGGGGGGAGCCCCGGTTAAGCCCCTAATTGGCTGTTTAATTCTCGGCAGGTGCGCTCCCCGGGCACCCTGGGGTCCATCCCCGCATCCTATTGGCTGAGGGGCCGGGCCGGCCGCGACTTCCATCCGGGTAATCGCGGCTCAGCCCGCCGCAGGCCCGTGCCTCGGGGCCGCGCGCGGAGGGCGCGGGGGCGACGGCCGGCGATTGGCCGGGCGGCTCCCCGGGCGCCGATTGGTGCGGGCGGGCGGCGGGGGCGGGGAAGTGGCGGCAGAAGCGAGGCCGGCGGGCGCCAGTCGCCGCGCGACGGGGAGGAGGCGACGGCCGCTGGAGTGAGGTGCGAGGCGGAGCGCGCGACGCCCAGTCAAGGAGCGGTAAAGGCGGGGGACGGGAGCCGAGGCTTAGGGAGTGGGAGAGGCCGGGCTCCGGGCGCCCCGGGGCTCGGGGAGGCGAAAAGGTGGGCGAGGGAGGCGTCCCGGAGGGGGTGGGCCCAGGGCGGGCGTGGTGTGGGGGCTGCGCCCTCCCGGGGCTGGCAACCGAATCCCGGGGAGATGCCCTGGCCCCCGGGGCGAGCCTGCAAGGGCCCGGCCGGTGTGGACTCGGCTCCCACAGGTCCTTTCTGAAACTGTGCACACCCTCTGTGGATCTGTTTGCATCGTTTCCCCCAACTTGAAGATGCGTGTGATGGGGTGACTGTACACTTACTTCGTCAAAACAACAGATGTGCTTGGGTGTCCACTGTTTCTCATTCCTCCCTGATGCGTATGTCGTGGGCTCGGGCAGAAGACTCCCTTGTCAAAAAGCTACATTTGTAGACGCTTTAGCTTGAGAAAAATGTGTGCGACTCCATTCACTCCCCGGTTTACAAATAAATGTAGCAAGAAGTGAGCAATCCAACGAGCTGCTTCAGTTCAGCAAACTGATTAAGCCATGTTTTGGGTACTTTGTAGGTTCTGGTTATTAGGAGATAACCAAAATGAGAGGTACTTGTTCCCAGGGAGCTCACATGTGATTTGAGTCCTGACTGTGTTTTGAAATATACCATGTTTGAAATATAATGCAAAAGTAAGCTTTAGTTCAGATAGTTGCTCGCCACTGTTTCAGTGTCAGAAAATCTCAGAGGTAGTTTTTGCTGAAAACCACTCTCTGGCTCCAGTTCTCACCTTGAAATGATCTGTGTCTCCCCTCATCTTTACCTGCTTTTCCCTGCAAACTATGGTTTTGAATTCAGTCTGCTCTGCTTCCACTTTGAAGTAATAAAATCAAACACTAACTGGCATTTAATGCTATAGTTATCCCCATTTCCAACCTATTACCCACTTTTTTGAGGAGAAACATGTGAATTGTAAATTATAAACAGAACTATAGTTGATTAAGTAGATATTCTTTTAAGACATCAGCTGATAACTTAGCACAAACTCCATTGTCGTATTTGAAAAGTTAGTGAAATTTGGCTTTTGGTTCAAGTAGAAGTCACCCCAGTAAGTGTATCTTTATCATAGGCAGTTATCTTCTGGCCACGCATACCTCTTCCAGCACTGTCAATGTTCGCTATCTCAGATATCACCATCTGCCAGGTACTCAAATGAGAAACTGATAGCCTGCTCCTTGGCTCACCCTCTGTACTTTCCGTAAATCAGTTGTTAGGTCTTGTGTGTGTTCTGCCTTTTAAAACTCTAATCCATCTGCTTTTTTTTGTCTCCATCGCTGACACCTGGACTAGCCTCTCAATTGGTCTCACAGCTCCTTTTGCTGCCTTCAATTCTCACTGCAGACACAGCTGTTAATCAAGAATTATGAGCAATGCTTGTGTTATGAAGGGATGTTTGGGGTACTATGGATGCCGGTAGCAATAAAATACAACCTAGTACAGAGGGTCAAAATATGGGGGTGGGGAGAGTTGCAGAACCAGAGCATTACTCTCTGTCCTCTTGCCTTATCCTGATAGTTTTTGAACTGAGGGAGGGAGTATGCTCTTAGTCCTTTGAGTTTCTTTGAAAAGTCATGACTGTTCTTCAAACCTCATTGCATAACAAATTGTCACCTTAGGGAATCCTGTTAATCTCCCTGGGGATTTAGCTTCCCCAGTTGCAGCATTACTAATGCAATCTGATCACCTCTGTGACCCCTTCCATTTCTAAAATTGTGTATATTCTGTACCTCACAAGCACGAATTAATGGCCTCAAAGGTAGTGTGAAAGGCAGCTGAAATTGCTGCTCTTGTTCACAGGGAAAATTTTTTTGTTTCCCAATACCTGCAGACGCTCATCTACTTAATCAAGATCAGACATTCCCCTTGCCTGACTGGAAGTCCATGAAGGCAGTACTAAATCTGTCTGGATTGTTGCATCCTCAAGGCCAACCACATAGGAATAGTCAACCACTATGTATTGGTTCGAATTCAGAAAATCAATAATTTGTATTTTCATAAGGTGTTTTTTTTGTTTTTTGTTTTTTGTTTTTGTGGGACCCTTGCCGGTGGCCGGGGATGGAACTGGCGCTGCAGAGGCTGTGGGCAGCCTCGCAACCCAGCACTCAACCACTGCGCCACCAGGGGAGGCCCCATAACAGTGGTTTTCAACTGTGCACCCTCTAAGAAGAAAACCTTTTAAATCAGCTTTTCCCAGTTTTTACATTGATCAAGACTTTATATTGTCTTTGCATTGCTGTGTAATTAGTTATTTTTGGTATTTTCTCTCCTACTAGATTGTGTTTCAATCTATGGGCTGAGCTTGCTGGAAATTCTTATTTCTCCTTGTAGCCCCAGCATACTTAACCTATAATAAAGAACTAATTCTATTTAACTGAGGCACATTGAAAATGAAGACAAGTTTTGCACTTAGAAACCACTGAAATGTGTGAAGTAACTAGTAGGTAATCTCTTAAATGTAGGAAAGTGGCAGTTTGGAGTTTACATATTCCAGAATTACTTAAGGAAAAATTACCTTTATGAAACCGAGCTTGTTCCCTTCCTTTGGTATTTATAAAGAAGTTTACCTGATACCACCCAAAGTGTCACAAAGTCAAGAAAGGTTTTATTTGCAGCCTGGAAAAAAGAGAGGAACTGATTTTTATCCAGTTAGGGAAGGAACCGCAACTCAAGCTCAAACAAACCAACATTCAATCCTTTTTTCTTCCTAACCACTACAAAGGAAGGGAGGAAAAAGCAGCTGTGTTCCCTCAGGTTGATACTCTCTAAAAGTGATATATACTGGATATAATTTCTGAATAATTGCCTGGAATAACAAGACACTTGGAAAGAGGCCCCCACCAAGGTAATAAAAGGAAATTTTCTTTTTAACTCTTCAGATCATGAGTCTGGGCAAGAGAGTGGGTTAAGTTTGTGTAAAACTACTGACTGGGAAAAATACACTTGGCAAACTTCTGGTCAGTAAAACTCTCTGAAGCTACAAGTAAAATGTGGTTCTCTGTCTGACTGTAGTAAGAAATCCACCTGCAATCTCCTTGTGTGATTTTTATCAGCTTCTTGGAATGAGACTTCTGTGCTGTGTCTTCTCCTTTTCCTCATCAATCTTCCTGAAAGACTTTTGGAGAAAGCACGCTTAGAGCCGGAGTTTTATGACCAAGTATGTTTTTTAGCCTTGAGTTGGAATTTTGTACCTGGAGGCAAATTATAGCATAAATTACATATCGTCACTCATTTTATAGGATTCCTTGATAAAAGCCACATGTGTTTGTTCTAGATTGAATATCTGAAAATAGACAGTCTTTAGTTTTTTTTAACCACCTACAATGTTTTCTATCAGGTTTATTAATTTTGAATGAAATGTTATTGAAAAATAAAGATACAGGTTCTTTTCCACTGAGAATTTAGGTAAAAGGAAGGGAGGGGAAGACTTCTAAAGTCACTTCAAGTGGTTTTTAATACAGTAACTGGGCTGCGGCTAAGAAATTAGATAACCTGGGCCTCCCCGGTGGCGCAGCGGTTGAGCGCTGGGTTGTGATGCTGCCCGCAGCCTCTGTAGCGCCAGTTCAATCCCCGGCTGCTCCCAGGCCACCAGAGGAGGGTCCCGCATGGCGCCCAGACCTCTCCTGCCGCCCGCTCCTCCCCTCAGCAGTGTGCTTCGGTCTTTCTGCCTGCTCTGCTCCCCACTCTGGCTCTGGTGAATTCTCTCACCCTCCCGCACTTCTGACTGTACCCAGTGCTTGTATAAATAAATAAACAAAACAAAACAAACAAACAAATAAATAAATAAAATAAATTTAAAAAAAGAAATTAGATAACCTAAAGAGGTTAAATTAGTAATCTAAAGCATGTCTACTTTATAAAACTAGAGTTAATATTTTCTATTTTGCTGGATTATATGAAGATTGAATAAAGTAATATGTATGTAAGGGGCTTGTGGCACTGTGGCTATTCAATACATTTCTCTTTTCATCTTTGGGTCCTTAGTGCCACAGTAACATCTAGCACATGGAAGTGCTTAATGTGGTTAAACTGCATGAGTAAAGCCAGTAATTTAGAGGACACGGGCATAACAAACATGCACACACAGTGTGTGTAAGTGTTGCTTGAAGGTATCAGTCACAGGGCAGTGTGAACTAGAAGGGATTCACCTTAGGAAGACTGAAGTGACATGCGTCCACAAGTATACACATAAGAGCACATCCTCTTCCCTTGCAGTGGGATTAGACTATAAGGCTATGAAGATGGTAGGCAGAGATGAGATTACAAGGACCCTTTCATGCCATTGACCAGTTTACATGTAGGCAGCAGAATTGCTGAAGAGGAAGGTCATTCATTCACAAATGGTTATTGATCAGATATTTGTGTGACTACTGTGTGCTAAGCACTGAAAACATTCTGTACCTGTGGAGTGTACATTCTAATGGGACAATCAAAATGAAGACCTTGCAGGTAATTGTAACTATGATTATGTAACCTGACTACGCAGGTATTGTCACTACGACTTTTAATTGTAGTGAAATGGGAAGCCACTAGGTTATAAGCAGATGAGTAACATTGACTTTCTCCAGTCATTGAGAATAACATGAATGGACGATTTTTGCAGAGACATAATTAAGAAATAATTGCAATAGTCTGGGCAAGTGATAGTGGTATTTTAGAGCAGATGGTGGTCAGAATCTGGATAATTTTGAGGTAGAATGAATCAAATTTGCCGTGAGGCTAGATGTGCTGTTTTAGAGAGATGGTGTGTGCTATTTTTAACCCTCTGGACCAGAAGACTAGAGTTGCCATTTACAGAGATGACAGACTATAGGATGGGGATAATATCAGGAGCTCAGTGTTACGCCTGTTAAATTTGAGGTGCATATTAGACATTTAGTGGAGCTGTTTCATAGGTAGTTGGATATACAATGTGGGGTTCAAGAGAAGGGTCCTAACTGGATCTACGGATTGGGGACTTATTAGCATGTAAATGGGATTTAAAGCCAAGCTGTGAATGAGAAGATGAGATCACTAAGGAAGTGAGGTGGCACAGGTAGGGGGCTAAAGACAGAGCTCTGGGGACTCCAATGTTTAGAGAGTAGCAAAAGGAGGAGGAACTGGCAAGGGGGACTGGTTGAGCAGCCTGAAAGGGAGGAGGAAAACCAGGGGCATATGCTTTCATGGAAGCCGAGTGAAGAAAGTATTTAAAGAAGAGAGTGTCACCAACTATTCCAGGTGTACTGGGGCGAGTTGCCACAGAGTAAAGACCGTCATTGGATTTAACAATGCAGAGTCACTGGTGCCCTTGACAAAAGCAGTGAGAATGGATTCAAGAAGAGGAATTGAGCACATAGTTTTGATACTCTTAAATTTTTGATAAAAGGAAATGAGATGAATTCAGAGGACTAAGAAATAGAATAAAGCCTTTCTATGACAAAGGAGAAATAATAGCAGTTTATCTACTGATGAAAAGATCCAGTAGAGATTGAAAGTATTACCAGTGCCAGAGAAGGAAGGAGAAAAATGTTTGTGGGGGTAACACTTTTATCAGACTTCAGTGCTAGGAGCAGAGACCATTCATTCTTGGCCACAGGAGAGAAGATAGAATATTTAGACACGGATGGAGGCAGGTAAATGTGGGAGAAGTTTGTTAATATTCTCTCTGGATGCTTTACTTTCCGGTGAAATGAGGACATCAGTTAAGAGTGAGGTTTGAGGGCCTCCCCGGTGGTGCAGCGATTGAGCGCTGGGTTGCGAAGCTGCCCGCTGCCTCTGCTGCACCGGTTTGATCCCCGGCTGCTCCCCGGCCACCAGAGGAGGGTCCCACATGGCACACAGACCTCTCCTGCCACCCGCTGCTCCCCTCAGCAGTGTACTTCGGTCCTTCTGCCTGCTCTGCTCCCCGCTCTGGCTCTGGTGAATTCTCTCACCCTCCCGTGCTTCTGACTGTGCCCAGTGCATGTATAAAACAAACAAACAAACAAACAAATAAATAAAACATGCCTTAATAAAAAAAAATTAAAAAAAAAGAGTGAGGTTTGAGGAGATGGCACTAAAGATTTGAGGAGAGAGGACATGAAATAATTACATGGGCAGGTGAGAAAGTATATGGAATAAAGAAATATAGTGAGAGACATGTTAAGATTTATGGTAGCAAAATGAAGATCGTGTCAGAGAATTATAGTTAAAAGGCCATGTGGTGGTCCAAATGAGATTTGATGAGCTTCTGAACAGTCCAGTGCCATGTCATGAATATATAGATATGAGTATATGTCATGAGTATATAGGTAATTGAAGTTACAAGTGTGGATGAAATTGCCAGAGATCAGAGTGACAGTTGAAGTGGATAGAGGCCTCAGGATGACAGGCCCCAAACTTAGAAGGCCTCTCCAGAGAAATAGGAGAAACCAAGAGAAAGAGGGCACAGAGGTAAGATTGGGTAAGACTTATATATGTCATCTTGAGTGATTACCTGGGAAATTGTAGTTTTAGTGAAGGAGCAGAGCAGAACCCCCTTTCACTGATAGTTGAGACATAAATAGAAATTGGGCATAGGCATAAATAAAGACTACTTCCAGGAAAGATAAGAGGTGTAGCAAATCCTAAAACTAAACCATTCCTTGCAGAGACAGCCACTTCTTTTCCAGAAGCTGGCATCACAGAGGGCACAGATAGGAATTTTAAAGTTCAATATGAAATCTAAACATTTGTTAAATATTTGATTCACTTAAAATTTTTTGTTCCTTTGTCATTTAAAACTGATGGTGCCTAGTTTTCCTTAGAGGGGTTTGGAGAGTGAAATACACCTCTGTGTAGTTGTATGTGTGTGTTAGCTAACTTTTTACAAATATCTTTCATGTGAAATAGATTTTAAGACCACTCAAGCTCTTGAAAGGGGAAAGTAGGACCAGTATTTCTATACTCACACCATTACAGTGTGTTCCCATGTGTCTCTCCCGGTAATAACAGTATCTGATGAAAGCGTCTTTCCATCTTTTACTTATTTTAGGATGTAAGTCAGAGCACAACAGAAAATGTCCACTGAACGGACTTCCTGGACAAATTTGTCCACTCTTCAGAAAATAGCACTGGGCCTCGGGATCCCAGCAAGTGCAACAGTTGCCTATATCTTATACCGCAGATACAGGGAAAGTAGAGGTAAGTGAACTCACGGCTGTATATATATGAGGAAATGTTCAGACTGTTGAGCCTGGTTAAATTAAAGTGGAAGCTTTCCTTGCCAGACTAAGTGTCATTTGTTGTGATGTAATTGGCTTTTTGTGAGGAATCTTTGAGTGAAGCTCAAAGATAATTTTTAGTGAAGCTAAAATATTTTTAATATTATTAAAAATATCATTTTTTAGTGACAGACAATCTTTGAGTGAAGCTCAGAGATAATACTTGATTTCTTCTTTTCTATGTTCTTAATTAAAGTTAGTCTTGAAGTGAAGAACTCATTTTATAATCCTTTTCTGTTACCTTCAGCAACATCAATGCTGCAGTAGATTCTTTTCTGGTGTTTTTGTTTTAAATACCTACACTCTTTTTTTTTTTTTTTTTTAATCCCCTTTCTATTTTGTCGTTAGGAAGAGGCTCACTATAGTTTCCTATATAGTTTCCTCGTATGTGGGATCTTAAGAATAGGACCTTGAGAAATGGTTTATGTACAAACAGAATTTCTGAGCCTAATAAACTCCTTGAGCAACTTAGAGCCTTCATTTTTCTCCCAGAGTCATGTCTTGAGAGGAATAATTTCCCCAAAATCCAGCACCATTTCCTTGCAGAGCCAGTTTTTTTTCCACTTTAGCATCTGAAAATATACCAGAGAGTGCCCATCTTCTGGTGCTTTAGGACCTTCTGATTTCTACTCAGATACTACTTTGTCATTGTGGTTGAGATTCTCAGTTTATCTCTTGGATCAGTGTTTTTTTTTTTGACAGCTAGATTCAGAGCAGGGTTGAGAGTAGCTTTTGGGTGTTATCTAAGTCTGATCTGAAGAACCATAATCTGTGCAGAAGAGCGGCTGACATTTGTTGGGGAGGACGACATCGAGATAGAGATGCGAGTTCCACAGGAGGCTGTGAAGCTCATCATTGGCCGACAGGGAGCCAATATTAAACAGGTGCGTGTGCTAGCAGGCAGTCAGCTTCCTCAGGGACTGATTCTGCTTACTGACTACTTACTTCCCTCCCACAAAACCCACACTATGTGTATTTTATGTTTGTATATTTCATAATATATAAAATAGTGTATGTTATATTTTACTTTGCTTATTCAAAAGCAGTAACATTGGGGAAAATACAGGCTTTACTTAGGGTAATGCATTTTGAAATTAAGTTACCAATAGTTTAGTTATAACCTCTTTTTCATTGATTCAATGTTTGGTCCTTATTTCTGTTAGTAAGTACTTAAACTGGTTGTGGAGTAACCAGTGTGGGAGCTCAACACCATCAGCAGTGGAGAAGAATTAGAAGATGGGATCCTGTGTAGAAGCCTGTATCTTAGGGGTTGAATCTTATCCACTGTCACAGAACTTTACTTTGGTACAAAAGCTGTATATTTTTAAAAGAAAGAAAACAGGATTTTTTTTTTTTAGCTATGCTAAAAACCATGCTGTTTTCCCTCTAGCCATAATTACCTCAAATCTGTAGAGAATGGATAATAACTTAGCTTGAATTAGGGTTTTTGATTGGCTGATTCTCAGCTTGGTATAGCTTGAGCCACTCTTTTCTATGGAATGAATTAATTGACAGTAAATAATGAATTCATATTACCACCTTCCATCGTTCCATTGGAATATCAATAAAACAATACTTAATTTTCTAATCCAAATGAAATTAAGGGAAAGAAAGTCTCTAAGCACAAAAAACTTTTTGAATTAACTGCCGTATGGGGTTTCTTTGCCACTAGCCTTCCATTAATACATGTAAGTGAGGACTATTTAGAGCAGCCTGAGCTGTGTACAATTCATCTACCTCCAGAGTTAAGTTTACAGTGTCGTTAACTGATCCAGAGGGGAGCTTGTCCACAGCACACTGCCATGTATCCTTTTCTCTGCAGCTGCGGAAACAGACAGGTGCTCGGATTGATGTGGACACAGAGGATATAGGCGATGAGCGGGTGCTGCTTATCAGTGGTTTTCCTGTTCAGGTGTGCAAGGCCAAAGCAGCAATCCATCAGATCCTGACAGAGAACACCCCAGTGTCTGAGCAGCTCTCAGTTCCCCAGAGATCCGTGGGCAGAATCATAGGTACCACTGGATGAAACCACTGTTTCCTTTTTCTTTCTGTCTTTCACACTTTCCCAAAGGTTTTCCTTTGCATACTTCCTTTAAGTGTTGCTGGGGGAGGGGGGGGCGGGGGAGGACAGGATATTGAGACCCGAGGTTTACTTTTTTGAAGAACCAATGGGAAAGCAAAACCCTAAGTTACCTCAAGTAGTTGTATGATCTGAACCTTAAAAATAGATTCCAGAAGGGCTCAAGTAAATGTGTTTACCTCATAATAGATGTTTAAAAGGAATCTAGGGATGCTCATGACATCCCAGATCTTTTAGCTTAGTGCTTTCGAGATCACCTGTTATGCTTCCTCCTAGAGCATTCTCTGTGCTGCTGTAAGAGGCAGAGAAATGTCCTGTCCTTGAGCCAATGTTTCCAACACCTAGAGTTCTCGTCTAATGAAGTGGGGGTTTAAAGTATGTTAAATGATCAAACATGCAAATAACTGAAGTTAATCTAGCCAATATGTAGAGTTTAAATGACGCACAGAGCAAGTAATCCAGTGTTCCCATCTTTCAGTAGGGATTTCAGTAGCACCTACTTATATTCAGTATCTTACATTCTATTCAGAAATGAGAACTGACTCTTTTTTTCCAACTATATACAAAATAGTAATTTCTCTAGTGAGTAAGATTGGCCTGGAGTGAAAAACAGGTTTTTATGTATTGTTGCAGGAAGAGGCGGCGAGACAATTCGCTCTATCTGTAAAGCTTCTGGAGCCAAAATTACTTGTGATAAAGAATCAGAGGGGACATTACTACTATCAAGACTTATAAAAATCTCAGGAACACAAAAGGAAGTGGCAGCAGCCAAGGCAAGTAGCTGATAGGCTTAAATAATAACTAGGAATGAGACAAATCCTTTATTCCATCCTGGGTCAAAATACCTGGCAGGGTAGGTTTCATCCCTTCCTTCACTTTCCACAGCATTTGATCCTGGAGAAAGTTTCAGAAGATGAAGAACTTCGGAAGAGAATTGCTCATTCTGCAGAAACCAGAGTCCCACGCAAGCAACCAATCAGTGTAAGAAGAGAGGAAGTGACAGAGCCAGGTAGAGCTGGAGAGCCAGCTTTCTGGAAAAGCATGGAGCCAGTCTCACCACCGACAGCTCCGCCTCGCACAGGAGGTGGCGACATGGCTATTGTCAGGCCAGAGGAAGGTTCCTGGGAGAAACCTAGTGGTGACAACTTTCAAAAGTCTGGAGACCAGGCCAGTCCAGAGATGTCCATGTTTGAAAGTATGTAACAAAGAGGAAACCCATTAGCCCTATGGAAGATACAAATACTGGCTTAGATAACCCAAAATAGCAATTAAAAAAAAATTCTGTTTTCTTGACACTTTAAAGTCTGGCTGCATAGATATATGCCTTTCTGGTAATAATTTTACTTAAACACAAAATAGCTAATGACAACGAGTAATTGAATTTACATATTTTTTGTCCTAACATAACTTACTAGACAAGTAAAATAGCTTGATTTTTTTTTTTCCCTTGGCCTAGCTTACTATTTTTAAAAGTCATCACCATTCAAGAAAAATAGGCTGTGGGCTCTCTATTCTGTGCATATGTATTAGCATGTGCATGGCCCTAAGAGTTCAGACTTGCGGCCTCTCTCGTGGCACACGGGGTTAAGACGCAACCTGTAAAGCTATCCGCAGCCTCTGCAGCACGAGTTCGATCCCCAGCCTGCCAAGTAGCAGCCCACATGGCGCAGCAGACCTCTCCTGACTCGCCCGCTGCTCCCTTCAGTGTATTTGTCATTCTGCCTGTTCTATTCCCCACTCTGTCTCTGGTGAATCCTCTCACACACACCCCACACCTCTGGTCTGTACCCCAGTTCTTATATGCATAAATAAATAAATCTTTAAAAAAAAAAAAAGAGTTCAGACTTGTCTGGGGTCAAATAATAAGTTAGTGATAGAATGGGATCTGGAATGGGCACACATCTGTCCACCCTAGTCTAGTACCAGAGAGACTTCTTTTATTCTTAGTTTCTGAACAGAACCTACTAACCAGCTGAGGAAGATAATCATCTTTGTAAATATAGAATCTCTTGTCATTGCTCCATGGTACAACTAATATTTGGAGGATTTACTTTCATTATAATAGATGACTGATTTGTCCCTCCAGCCATTTTAAAATGGGAATAGCCACTCAGTATTTGTACCCTTTATCCCTGGGAAGCAGCCTCCCATTCCAACTAGAGATGATTTCTGATATGGCCACCATATCAGATATTTGGTGATCCTGCTGCTTATCTTGCTTTTGCCTGTGTTTAGTCCCCAGTCCTGACTTCAGTTTCCATGCTGACGAGTTCCTGGAAGTCTATGTCTCTGCCTCTGAACATCCTAACCACTTCTGGATCCAAATCATTGGCTCCCGCAGTCTGCAACTGGATAAGCTTGTCAATGAAATGACCCAACACTATGAGAATAGTCTGGTGAGATGCTGTAAAGACAGGGCTAGGGTTTGATGGGAAAGGGGCATATCTTTTTCATTGCAGTAGATTTCTTCCTATTCCTGTGGAGCAACTACTCCTCCTCTTCTGATATTCCTTGTTTATTTTTTTAGCCTGAAGACTTGCCTGTGAATGTAGGAGATATTGTAGCAGCACCTTTACCTACAAATGGTTCCTGGTATCGAGCCCGCGTCCTTGGCACCTTGGAGAATGGGAACCTGGACCTCTACTTTGTTGACTTTGGAGATAATGGAGAATGCCCAGTGGGAGACCTCAGGGCACTCAGGTTAGTGCAGATGCCAGGGTGGAGTCAGACTGGAGACCCAACTATTGACTCAGCCCTAAGATACATGTGGTGAGCTTATGGTACTCAGCACTGGGGGAATTTGAAAGAGAGCCTAATTACAAAGAGCAGTTGATTATGTTTTCTAGCTGGGTTAATTGGTCCTATCTACAGGCAATAAATCCTAAATTCTGTTTCTTTCACTTTAGGAGTGACTTCCTAAGCCTTCCATTTCAAGCAATAGAATGTAGCCTGGCACGGATTGCCCCATCAGGTAATGGTACACCTGTGACCTTCCAACTACAATAACTTTCACATAGCACATTCCTAGGCTTTTTGAGTTCTGGGGGCTCCGGTGCCTTTTCCTTACCAGCACTAGAAAACAGCATCCAGAAACCTCCCAGGCAAGGTAGGTGCTCTGTGGAGTAGAAAGAGGGAACGTTCCATTTTCCCTCCAGGGTGTAATCCTACTGACGCCGCGTTCGGCTCTCCCTACAATTTCTTGTTTGTTTGTTTGTTTTTTATTAGTTTTTTTTTTTATTTTTTACATCATTGTTCATTTTAATCAGTATTTTCTTCCCCCCACCCCCTCATGTGTAGTCCCCATAGAGTTTCCTTGACCAGTGCACCATCACCTTAGTCCCCTGTGCTCCTCCCTCCCTCCCTCTGATCCCTCTCCCTCCTCCTCCCCTGCAGTATGTCTCTGATTTATAATTGTCTGTTTTTGCTTTGTTGTGTTTTCTACTGTTACTATTACACTGATGTCTTATTTGGTTCCCCTATATTCCTGCTGTAAGTGAAATCATCGATACTTTTCTTTTTCCTTCTGGCCTATTTCACTGAGTATAATTCCTTCTAGTTCCATCCACGTTGCTGCAAATGGCATGAGTTTATCTTTTTTGATTGCTGCTGAATAATATTCCATTGTGTATATATGCCACATCTTCTTGATCCAGCTCAACATCCCTTATAATCAGGGAAATGCAAATCAAAACCACAGTAAGATACCACCTTACACCAGTAAGAATGGCACAAATCAAAAAAACAAGCAACAACAAATGTTGGTGAGGATGTGGTGAAAAAGGAACTCTCCTACATTGCTGGTGGGAATGCAAACTGGTCCAACCACTATGGAAAGCTGTCTGGAGGGTCCTCAGTCTGCAACAGGGTGGTCCCCAGGAAAGGGGGAGGTTCCCTGCCCCACCCAAGGGAGGGTGGAGCTGAGCAGGGAGAGAAGAAGCTGCAGAAGAGACTGAGGAAGGAAGCAGGATGGAGCCAGGAGACCTGGAGGAGGCGCATGGAGCCTAGAGACACGTGAAGAAACTGCACTTGTCTTTTGGTTGTGGACTGGGTGACACAGATGTGGGTGAGACCCATGGGGAGGTGACCATGGCAGCTTTTATCTTGATGTTGATTTTGCTCTTTTCCTTCCGGGCTTGTCTGGTTGTTTCTGACCCTTTTCTGTGGGTCCCCACTGGAAGATGCTTTAGACTTGTGGCAAGCTTTGGGGCCTTGCTCTGGGAGAAAAGTGGGAGACAAAGTTTTAAATGAGTCCTACCCAATCCACCAATCAGGAATCCCAAAATGGCGCTCTCAGAGTTCGCTGCCAGCCAGGAGCGGTGAAGCCAGGAGGCGAGATCTGCTGTCTTGTTCTGGCTAATGCCTCCAGATATTTTTCTTTTGGCTGGGACTGATGAACTGTTTTTCCAGGAATGGAGGACTTTTGCTTTCCACAATGGACAATACCTGGAGGGATTCGTTTTCTTTCAGACTGGAACCCTGGAAAACTTTCATCTGAGACTGTATCCCAGCATCCATATGTTTGATCTTCATCACCATGGAAATGGTGGCAAAAAGTGAAAGGGGGGAATTGTTAGGGGGAAATGATGTCCTGAGTTAATCCCATACAGGCTTTGTGGACTCCACCCCCACTCCAGACTAAAGCCATCAAGACATTGGGAAAGACAAATCCCATCACCACCAAAGGGAGGGTGGCTGGGACCTGAGGGTGGAGTTGGGCAGCCAGGTTGGATATAAAAACCAAACACGTGGGCCTTGGGGTCTCTCTGGCTCGCGATCGCTCGCCTCCTGGCTTCACCACTCCTGGCTGGCGGCGAACACTGAGAGCGCCATTTTGGGATTCCTGATTGGCGGATTGGGTAGGACTCATTTAAAACTTTGTCTCCCACTTTTCTCCCAGAGCAAGGCCCCAAAGCTTGCCACAAGTCTAAAGCATCTTCCAGTGGGGACCCACAGAAAAGGGTCAGAAACAACCAGACAAGCCCGGAAGGAAAAGAGCAAAATCAACATCAAGATAAAAGCTACCATTGTCACCTCCCCACGGGTCTCACCCACATCTGTGTCACCCAGTCCACAACCAAAAGACAAGCGCAGTTTCTTCACGTGTCTCTAGGCTCCATGCGCCTCCTCCAGGTCTCCTGGCTCCATCCTGCTTCCTTCCTCAGTCTCTTCTGCAGCTTCTTCTCTCCCTGCTCAGCTCCACCCTCCCTTGGGTGGGGCAGGGAACCTCCCCCTTTCCTGGGGACCACCCTGTTGCAAGTCTACTAAAAATGGAGCTACCATACAACCCGGCAATTCCACTTCTAGGGATCTACCCAAAGGACACAAAAACATTGATTCAAAAGAACACCTGTACACCTGTGTTTATTGCAGCACTATTCACAATAGGTAAAACCTGGAAACAACCCAAATGTCTCCCTACAATTTTGGCAGGTGAACAATGGGAAGAGGCGGCCTTGGATGAGTTTGACAGACTCACTCACTGTGCTGACTGGAAGCCCCTAGTGGCCAAGATCTCTAGCTATGTCCAGGCTGGGGCCTCAACTTGGCCCAAGATCTACCTCTATGATACTAGCAATGGGAAGGTAAGATTAGGGTTCACTCACTGCCTTCTGTCTCTTCAGAGAGAGAGAGAGAGTGTGTGAGTGTGTGTGTGTATTGCTTCATTAGCTTTCTCTTTCCTAGAAAACCTTACCTGATAATCCTGTCTCATAAGATCCTGCTCACTATCTCACCAAAGGAATCAAAGGAATGTCTATAAAGTACCAATTCTGGTTCTTGTGCCCTTTTCCTCAGATTTACCTTTCCTTACAGAGAGAACATTATTCTTTTAATTTTTCTTCTCAGAAACTTGATATTGGGTTAGAATTAGTTCGTAAAGGATATGCAATTGAGCTTCCTGAAGACATGGAAGAAAACAAAGCTGTCCCAGACATGTTGCCAGATATGGTGAGTGATCCATTATAGTCAGTTCGGGTGCTGCTTTGGCACAAATCTGGTGCCCTGAAAGACATGAGGGCTTTAGTCATGCATGCCGTTTTACAGAGAGCTCTCTTTAAGGACTCTGATCGTTTCACTAGTTGATAAAGGAAGCATTTTGTTCCCCTTAGAAGCCTCTTAACCAGATCTTATGAACAAAATGTGGGTTGGCCTTTCCTTTCCCACCAGCCAACTTTCTCATTTTCACTCCCTTAGGCCACAGAAACAGATCTCTCTCTCAACAGCATGCTCACTGAGACCAAGAAGAGTCCTGGAGAGATAGCAAATACTCTGTCCTGCCTCAGTTTGTCAGGTACAAGTAGCATTTCCTCCCTAGTGCATCTTTGGAAGTTATTTCTCCACCAGTCTCTTCAAACTAGGGAGGTTAAGGCTTGACTCTTAACCAAGGTGGGCATTGAGTAACAAAGTAACATTAAGTAAGCCTACTTTCCCCCCTGAGCTTCAGAAGCAGTGCCTGCTTGATTATGGAAGTATCTTTCTCTTTTCTGCTAAGTAGAAGCCACCTCTATGTCTGGTGATGATAACCTTGAAGATGACTACTTACTCTGAAGTCGGCTTCAGCTGCCTCAGATCTGCTTTGCTGTGTGAGTGGAGTTCCCATCTATCTGTAGCATCAGGAAAGTAATGAGGGTGAAACCGTCTTCATATCCCCATAGCCCATCTTAGTACTGTTGCTCTGTAGCTGCTTCCCAGCAGCTTAACTTGCTGTCACATTGAGCCCTTTCAAGTTGTTGTTTTTTAAAGATTATTTATTATGCATACAAGAGCTGGGGTACAGGTCAGAGGTGCGGGAGGTGGATAAGAGGATTCACCAGAGACAGTGGGTAACAGAACAGGCAGACTGAAATCCACTGCTGAGGGGAGCAGCAGGAGAGATAGGAAAGATCTGCTGCGCCATGTAGGTTGCTTCCTGGCCAGCCGGGGATCAAACTTATGCTGCAGAGGCTGCAGATTGCTTCATAGTGCTGTGCTTAACCCCTTATGCCACCAGGGAGGCCTTTCACGTTTTTGTCCTTGTGTGTTTGTGTCTTTGGCAGGATTTGGTGCCTGAAGAGAGAAGCCAAGCCCATGATAGAGATCTATGCAGTCCTTCCTTTAATACACACATGATCTGGCTCACTGTGGACCAAATGCATTCTTTTTACTGGACTACCAGAAAGCTTGTGGGGTAGAGGGAGACAAATACATGCACCTGCTGCTCCACCCCACCCCCAGTGTTTGAATTCTGCTGCGTTATGTTGCTCTGCACCTGGCTCGTTCCTGCTGCCGGTCACAGTGCTCCCTGTGCCTGGGCTGTGTCCTTGTTGAGGCTGGGAAATAGTCAGGGGGTTGGTCATTAGAAGTAATGATTCTGCAGACTCCTGACTGACCTCATCAGGTGACTCTGGTTAAGTTTTTGATGACCTCATAGACTGCAATTGTTTCAGGATATAAGGGCAGAAATCAGTATAATTATATTAAAAAGCTTTAGGTAGTGGGAAGAGAAGACTGTCTCCCAGCCTCAACTACTGAGCTGCTTTTGGAAACAGTGCTCCAGCTGTTTAACTGAAACTTTGGTTAAAATACAAGTAAACAAGGAGAGGCGGCTCAGGAAATACTCTAAACTGCTGTGCTAGTATAAACTCTCATATATATGTACACACAGACTCAGAACATAGCTATTTCAGTCTTTGCTGAATAAAGTTCTCAAGAAAATTATCTAAAACTAAACCCTAGTTGAGTCACAAAGTAGAAGCAGGCATGTGGGTATCATCTAAACCTAATGCTGGTGAAAACTGCCAAATACATCACAGAGAGGGGCCCATCAATACACATATCTCCCATGCACAGATCATACTCTTTCCCTAGAGTCACTTCAGAAGTAGTCATCACTGATTTAGGCTTGTAAATAAATCCCCACCCAAACTATTTGGAAGAAAAGGCCTGAATCAGGATTCTGCAAAATCTGCATTCTCAGTAGCTGTCAACCTACTGTCTTTAGGGAGCTAATTTGCATACAGCATTTTGCCATTTCTGACTTGGGTGAGAACTATAAAGGTACTTAAAATTATTATGAATGTATACTAATATGGGTGGTAGAATAATGGCAAATTAAGGATCAACAAGGTAAACTAGAAAACAAGGGTTTTTTTAAATCTTGGAATTGGTTGTGCCCATAACTATATTACCATAGTCCATAATTTTCAAAATTCAGAAATCTCAAAAAAATCTCAGTATAGAATAGAATAGTTCTAAGTGGTATAGAATAGTTCTAAGTGGAGGAGGAGTGGCTTATGTAGACTTGGAGGAAGCAGTAAGGACTGCCATTGATCAGACATTAGCTGCCGTGAGGTGGACTCGGCCTTGACTAGGAGTTATACTGCAACAGTCTCCAGCCCCTTAAATTTCTTTGGAAAAGAATGTCTCATTCCAGCCTGCAGTTTGTTTCCATGCTCAGGTACGTTCATTTAATACGGCCTTTAATCCCATCAGTGTACCTCCCATGTATGGGTCCCCACTTCCCATACAACCTTGTGCTTTTCTGCTGCCTTAGAATGCGCTCTTCGGCACTTCCTAATATAGCTTATCTGTTGACATCCTGCCCTTCAGTCATAGCCACAGGAGTCATAGTACTTTGATTTCCAAAGAACTGAAATAGGTGGATGAAAATGTCCCAACAAGGCTTAAGCCTTGCCAAATTTCCTAGTACTTGGTTCTTGCACCAGGGAGATGCTCAGTAAATGGTTAAAATATGTGGGAAAATGGTTTTGAAATCTTGGTTCCCTGCCCTTTCTGGCTTAGGTACCTTTGGTCTTTGCAGTCGTGAAATACTGATCTTAGTGAATTCAGCTCTGTAAGGCTAATGCCCCACTCCAGCCAGCCCCCCAACACACACAAGACACAGTGCACACTTGAGGATTGCACTACCCTTTATTCCTAGGATGGAAGGTGTTACCAGTCACATCCTGGTTCCATGGTTTCCACTTATCAAGGTTCCCAGCCCCTCATAGAGTAGGAATAAGCATGTTCAGGGAGGCTCGCTGGGCAGGTGGCCAAGGTCCCTTTCAAGGGGATACACCATAAAGATGACATTGTCCCAAGGAGGGAGAGCGGGGTGATCTGGTCTGACCACCTCAAAGCCCATGTAGCTGAAGGCCCTTAGCAGGGCACCTGTGAAGAAAGAGAAGTTAGAGCATCCTTTAAAGCTTAGTGCATCTGTTCACCCCGGTATTTGATTTCTCCCACTAGGGTATGGCTGAAGGCAGCAGTGAGATATGAGCATTAGGATGATATGCTTTGGAATCTAACAGACCTAGACACTGGTTGTAGGCTTAAAACTTAACTTTGTAATGGTCACTACTCAAGAGTAATGCATAGTTAATGCATTGTAATGTAGGTTACCTTTGTGAACTTGTTTGATTTGTAACTTTATAAAATGGAGATCACGGAACCTTCCTCTCAGAATTTGAGATTAAATGAAGTGCTTAACATGGTACAGTGAACATGTGACCGTTCTTTGGCTTATATCCAATAGAGTATATAAACTTGAAGGAGAAAGAAGTTTCAGTTTTATGGCCTATGCTGCTGCATCTGGTTCAATATATTCCTAATTTCATGGCATTCTGCCTGACTCTCACGCTGAAGGTGTTAATACGCAAGAGACCTTGCTCTCCCCAAACGCACCCTTTGAATGGATTCTGTAATTTCACCAGTGCTCCTTCAGCCTGCCTTCTGAAATTTGCCTGCAGGGCCTTCCTGCGAATCCAATTCTAACTTGAGCAGAATGCTTTCTGCCTTAATTTCCTGGGGGGGGGGGGAAGGGGGAGGAGGGGAGGGGGTCTATGAATTGTTGCAATGCCTGAAGGCATTGCCCTTTTCTAAAAAGCGGGGGGAAGAGGGTCTCCTGTGAATGAAAAGCTGCGGCCAGCTGCCTCAGCACTAAGGGACAGGAAGGATGAGCACATCCTCACCTCTATCATTTCGATTGTTTTGGAAGTTTACAAACACCGAGTCCACATTGGTCTTCTCCTCCACATACTCCAGTGTTGCAGTCAGACTAGGGGCCAGAGAAAAATCATGGTTAATGAAATGTTTAACAAAGAATCCAGACGCCTACTTGCAGTGGGAGAAATCTTAATTGATCAGTTTTTGCTGATCCAAGACAAGAAATGACAGTTGCTCAACTACTTTGGATAGTTTTCTCTGAAACATGGACTGATTGATACCCATGCTGAGAATGGAGCCTGGGGAGTAGGAGTTCTGCAGACAAACAGCTGGGAGGCACATCCTTTTCAATTGTTTATAGATATCCACTTCTGTGTTTTTGAATCAACTTCCCATAGGCTGTTACCTCTTGACCCCCAAATCCTGACTCAGCTCATGGCTTTGTTTACCACCTCAGTGGTTCAGTCTATCAGCTCCTGTATCAGCCCCAACCGGTTAACATATCCTCTCTCTGGTTATGACATCATAAAAGAGTGACATCACTACCCCTTCCCTTTCAACTCTCCCAGACTCAGCCACCTTTCTCTGTTGCCTTGATCCAAGGCACGATATGGGATATCCAGGAAGAGTCGATGGTCAGAGAGAAGGCCGTGCCAGTGGGCAGAGGTCTTAGGGGTGAGGCGGAAGTGGAAATCTAGCTGCACCGGGTCCTGGTGGAGCAGGGGATCAGTAGCCAGCACTGTCAGGTTCCCTGCCTGGGAAAGGAGTAAAAATGATAGTTGTCTCCTGTTTCTATGTTCATCTAATCTTCAAATCAGATCTCATGTTAATTTCAGTGTGTCTGTGAAAGCAAAAAGGCCACTTCTCGGAAATGTGGGAGAACAAGATCCTTTAGTCCTAAGAAATAACTCTGTTACGGAGTTGTTGACATCAATCTGAAATTGAGTCAATGCAGTATTGCTGCCTGTTCTCTCACCTCGGGTGCATTCACTCTTCAAAGCACTGACATTTACCTCAGAGCTTTTTCTTTTAGCCGTGCCATCTATTTACTATCTCACTGATAATAACTTCTCTTTTTCTTATTTCTCATTGAAAATGCAGGGGTTATACAGATTATTGCAAAATGATAGAAGACAGGTGGAGTTCTGGGTTCTGGCCCATTAGCATCTAAACAGCTTTATGTCTCACAAGGCTTAATTCCGTCTGCTCAATGTTGGATCCCACTTCCTCTGCAACACCAGCTCTATGACCTTGACTTAAAATCTCTGGGCCAGAGGCCTTGTCTATAAAGCAAATAGGTTTTACACATGACCTCCAAAGTCTCATCAAGCTTTGTGATTCATTTTCCAACTAGTTAGTGTTCCTTGTCCACAAGGTATTACACAGCAAGCAAGGCCTGCCCTGCCACAGCACCACAGTCCGCTTACCGAATACAGTTCTTTAAGCTGATCTTGGTCACCCTGCTTGGTGCTTCTGCCCACCTGGAGGCCTGCTAGAGACTCAGGAGCACTGAAGGCAGCAACGGGGCCTCAGTGTCAAGTCCTCCTCTTCTTTATAAGTGATGCTGATAGGGAAAAAGAAGCCCAAATTAGTTTATCTCTGAGTCTTAGATGGGGATAGCTTCATACTTTCCAGGACCAGGCTCTGGCACTATTTGGCATCTTCCATGAACCAGTATTCCCAGGCCAGCTAGATGGAAAAATTCTCAAATTCCACGCCAGTTTTTTACCCATTACCATTGTCTCTTTTTTTTTTTTTTAAAGATTTATTTATATAAGCACTGGTTACAGTCAGAAGCGCGGGAGGGTGAGAGAATTCACCAGAGCCAGAGCGGGGAGCAGAGCTGGCAGAAGGACCGAAGTACACTGCTGAGGGGAGCAGCTGGCGGCAAGAGAGGTCTGCGCGCCATGTGGGACCCTCCTCTGGTGGCCGGGGATGGAACCAGCGCTGAAGAGGCTGCGGGCAGCTTCGCAACCCAGCGCTCTACAGCTGCGCCACCGGGGAGGTCCTACCTTGCCACTTGAGAAGTTCTTTTATTTTCCCTTACAGTTTGCATAAACTGCTACAAGGAGAGATGAAAACAAGTACCTTTTACAACAAGACCAAGGCAGCATCTTTTCCCGGAGAGTGACCCGGTATTTGTAACAGTAAAGGTAATAGGCGAATGGTGACCAAATAGGGTAGAGGTAGTTCCGTGTTTTTCCCCTCTTGATATAAGAAAGGGAGTAGAGAGAGGGGCGTGACCTGGTGCAAGGCAGTTTCTCAGTTCAGTGCCTCCCTGCGGCAAAGTGAGGGTTCAGAGATGAGTGGCAGAGGTTAGGCAACCTGAGGTTATTGTGACCTGGTGGGTGTCACTGTGACATGGACAAGAGGTCAGCACTTATGTCACCTCAGGACTTCATTCTGATGCTACCCTCCCCCGCCCTGCCCCCTAAACCAAATCTCCTGTTTGAGTTGTGTACACTCTATGGCTGTACCAGTGGTTAAAATACATAAGCTGCTGTAGTTCATTGGTAAACAATCCTGCCTGAGCACCTGCTGTGCTCCCCCAACCTGCTCTCAGTCTGAAGTATATGCCCCCCACTTCCACTAAAATTCAGCAACTAAAGGGTTAGTGACTGACACTAAGGGTTAGTGACACTAAGTTTCCAAGACCCTGATCCAGCATCTGACCTGACAGTTGGTTCCTGATTTCTGTCAGTTCAGTGTTTTTTATTGTCATCCATACCCTTAATATTACTCAGGAGTGCCACACAGAGTTAGTTTCTCATTGCCTTGTAAGGTAGGAATTACAAACTAAATGTCTCCAGGGCCTCGACAGTCAATGGAAATTAGTGGGCTGCTGGGTGGGGCAGTAGCAAAATGGAAAGCCATGTCTAAAATAAGCTGGTACAACTCCGCTCCATCCAGTTGCCATGCAAGAATGCAGACTCAGTGGAACCAAACTGTATACTTTTTCAACAAGACATTTTGTGATAAATTTCTCCGATGTTTGAGAAAATTTGGCTGCTAGCTAAAAGTGTTGACTAAATAAATCAACAAAATTTGGATCTGAGACCACTAGTTGGAGACCTCTGCATATTCATTTATCCATCCATTCAGGTATCTGTTGAGGGCCCACTTATCTAGGTGCTTGGGATATACTAGTAAACAAAGATCCCTGCCCCATGAAACATCTAACACTAAGAGAACAAACCTAAAACATGACTTAGTGAGTTACAAAATAACTGCTATTTTTAAAAAAGATTTATTGATTGATATATGCATATAAGAACTGGGGTGCAGGCCTGAGGTGCAGGGTGGGTGGTGAGAGGACTTGCCAGAGACAGAGTGGGGAGCAGAACAAACAGATCTACTGAAATACGCTGCTGAGGGGAGGAGCGGGAGACAGAGGTCTGCTGCGATATGTGGGTCAGCTCCCTGGCCAGGGATTGAACTCAGGCCTGTAGTGGGTGGATAGCTTGACAGCGCTGGGGCTAAGCGCTGGGGCTAACCCCTGCGCCACCAGGGAGGCCCCGAAGTAACTGCTATGTAGAAAAATAGAGCAGGGGTGAGAAGGGGTTGGACAAGTTGTGGTAACAGCTATCCAAGCAAGTCTCGTTGAATAGGTGGCATTTAATCAAAGACATAAAGGAGGTGAGGGCACTAGCCATGCCAAAATCTGAGTAAAAGTACTACATGCCCAAGCAACAACCCTAAAAGGAATGTACTGGTGTTTACAAGATATCGTGAGGTGGCCATGGGGAGAATAGGAGATGAGGTCAGGGAAGTAATGGGAACAGATCATCTGGGGCTTTGTAATCTATTGTATGGTCTTTTTCTATTATTCTGAATGAAAAGGGAGACCATTGCAAAGTTTTAGGTGAAAGACAGGAGCTGACTAACATTTTTTAAAAGATTATATTGTAAATAAACTAGAGAATTAAGGGAGGTTGGGAGACTCTGATGAACTGGGAGGAAAATAGTGTGGAAAGTGCTGGGAGGTGGTTAGAATCTAGGAGTAGTTTAAAGGTAGAACCTACAGGATTTCCTGGAGTATGAGTGAAAGAAGTCGTGTCCAAGATTTCAAAGAAAGGAGTTTCCATTAACTGAGATGGAAAGGTTGCAGGTAGGGCAGTTTGGAGGAGGTGGGGCTAGAGATCAGTTTGGTGTGGATCAGTTTAGTGTGGAAATGTTAACTTTGTTAGATAAGCGGAAGATGACAGAGAAGCAGTTGGATATTCAGGTTAGGAGTTTAGGGTGGAGATAGAGATTTGGAGGTCGTTGGCTTATAAATAGTATTTTAAGGCAGGAGATAGAGTTGTGTGTTGAGAAAGATCCAAGGATTGATTCCTGGGCACATGCTACGAAGTTGGGGTGGGGGCGAGAGAGGGGAAATCAGCAAAAGAGACTGAAGACTGGTGGTGGGAAGAATATAAAAAGTGGCGACCTGGAAGCTAAGTAGGGACGACTGGTGAAAGGTTGCTTGTGGGTCCCATAACGTGATGCCCATAACATCTCTCTATAATCTCTGCCAGAAAATCCTGTTCATTCCATTTACATGATTTTCTCCCCTGCACGAAGACCCTCCAATGGAGGAACCGTTTGGGCCCTATTATAGTTTCCCTAAGATTTCTCTCCCTTGTAACTTAGAATAAATATTAGCTCAGGTAGTGCAGTGTAATGATTAAGGGTTAGGCCCCTTTTGGGGTTGGCAATAGTTTTCCAGAGCATTTGAAAGGTTTCGCCGGGTAAAGAAAAGGAGACCCAGGCTAAATTTCTCAAAGGAAGGGAAAATGTATTGCGCCCGGGCAGACCTCATGGACCCAAGGTGGGGGTCAGTGAAGCCGCGCACGTTGTTAGGGGGGTGCAGGCTTTTATAGGGTGAGGAGAGGTCCGGTGGGAGACTGGGTTCGTATGGCGGGAAAAAGTTTGTAGGGGTGGGGTGGGGAGGTTCACTGTCTGACTCCTCTAGGCAGGCCTCGCATTCCTGTTCCCAGGTGGGCCGCCCGGTGGGTTTTGCATTCCGGCTCCTGCATGGGCCTTTCAGCACTCAGTCCTTCCACCGCTTTTAAGTAAATCTAAAATAAAGAAAAGCAAGAACAGCATCCCTCTCTCCTCACTACCAGTCATCACAATGTCAGAATAAGTGGCCTCAGCGAGCAACTGGCTCTCAGCCCCACCGGAAAGCTAAAATGCAGCCAAGAGGGAGAGCGCGTCCGCGTGTTCCCGGCGCCCCTCCCCCGAAAAGGCGCCGGCAGACGAGCGCGGGAAACGCGGAATCACGCAGCTTCCGCCTCAGACCTTCCGACCGGCGGCGGCGGCGACGCCGCGAAGCCGCCCCACGCCTGCCGCGTCCTCGGCCCAGCGGGGCGGGACCCGGCCGCTCGGCTCAGGCGCGCCGCGGGCAGCCGCTGGGGGCCTTTCCCGCCGCGGGCGCCGCCGCCGCCGCCTGCTGGGCGCGGGGCCGGGGAATATGGCGGCGGCCGCGGGCCGCGCTCTGCTGCGGGCGGGCACCGAGCGGCTGCTGCGAGGAGGGCTCCCGGCGCTACTCCGGCCGCGACTTGAGGGGAGCACCCCCGGCCCGCAGCGCGACTTCAGCCTGTCTTGCAGTCGGGTGAGGGCCGGGCCTGGGGTCTGGGTGTCCTTGACTCTGGCGAGGCTACTTACGCCGAGTCTTGCTTGGGGGCCGGTGGCGGGCGGGGGGTGGGGGGTGTTGAGACTTGGCGGGGCCCTGGCCTGGGAGTGGCGGGCTTTTCACGAGGTGCTGGCGACTCGGGAGGAGGTGGGTCCCGAAGGAGACTCGCTCACTCTCGCTCCCCCGCTTTCAGGGCACGGTCATCGTGGAGCGCTGGTGGAAGGTGCCCCTGGCCGGAGAGGGCCGGCAGCCGCGTCTGCACCGGCGACACCGCATCTACAAGCTGGTGGAGGACACGAAGCATCGACCTAAAGAGAAGCTGGAGCTCATCCTCACGCAGTCAGTGGAGGGTAAGGCACTCTACCTCAGCCTGGTCCTGTTTGGCCTGAGTTTTTCCCTCCGTTACTCCTCACCTGTTTGCGCTCCTTCACTATTTTGTGAAAATAAGCTCAGTGTTTGAGAAGAGGGAGCTGTAATTGTGACAGTGAGATCGACCTCCCGTATAAATAATGAGAACATGAGTGCAGCAGCATCATTAACTGGGTGGAGAGAGGCCTGACAGTATGTTTGCAGACACTGAAATCCTGTGAAGGGACAAGATCTCACTTTGTACGTGGAGTGTTATGTATCCAAGCTCTTCTCTGTCCCCCACCACTAACTGCCTCATCCGCAACCCTTCCCATCTTACTTGATGAAACTAGTTAGATGTCAGGTAAGAAGACAGGTAAGTTATCAAGTGAGTATTGATTGCACATTTAGGAAGAATAAGCACTGTGGGAAAATAGCAGGTGCTTCTTTCTTTGATCATCTCCTTCTCTTTAAGGATGATTAGATAGTCCTCCTATAGTGTTTCTGTTCTTGGCAGGACTTGGAGTCCGGGGTGACCTCGTGGCAGTGAAGAAATCAGTGGGCCGAAATCGTCTACTTCCTCAAGGACTGGCTGTGTATGCTTCCCCTGAAAACAAAAAGATGTTTGAAGAGGAGAAATTGGTGAGCTAAAAGGAAGACAGAGGGAGTTGAAGGAATAAATCTTTAAGATTCCCATTAGCGACTTAATTCCCTTTGATTTTAACTTAGAAATGAAGTAGGGATTAGAAGAACAAGAATCTAGAAACCCCACCTTTGTCAGGCATCTAAGAATTTGTTATGATTTACCATGGATTAATTTTGAGTTTTTTCATCTTTAACTTTCTTTTCTAGCTGAGACAAGAAGGAAAATTAGAGAAGATCCAGACCAAGGCAGGTGAGGCGGTGAGTAGAAACATAATTATTTATTTATTGGTCTTTTATAAAGTCACCAGCAACCTCCTGAGAGACTCCTTGAAGCCTCCTGACTGCAGACACAAGGTTAGAGGGAAGGGGTAGCCTTCCCTGGTATGAAGACCACCTTTGGGTGAAGTGCCCTAACTTATTGAAGGAGATCCCAACCTGGGCACCAGGGAACCCATGCAAAATTGTAAGATGAGGGCTCTGCCTTCAAGGATGTTTACAGAAATATTGGAGAGACCAAAAGACACATGAAAAAGGTGATCCTTAAAGCGGTAAATTATAAGGGTAACATGGACTGAATTTGATTAGGGTGGTTGGAGGGCTTTCTTTCAGATAAAATTAAATGAGGCCATATGGGTTTAGTGGGCTTTGGATTGGCCAAGAGCTGGGGCACAAGCCAGAGGTGGGGGGTGGGGGTCGTGAGGGGATTCACCAGAGACAGAGTAGGAAACAGAATAAGCAGACTGACCGAAGTACACTGCTGAGGGGAGCAGCGAGCAACTCAGGAGAGGTCTGCTGCACCGTGTGGGTTTGCTCCCTGGTGGGCCAGGAATCAAACTTGTGCTGCAGAGGCTGCAGACAGCTTCATATGTTGCGTCTTAACCCCTTGCACAACCAGGGAGATCCAGGAAGGGTATTCTGAGGAGATAAAAAGTACAAGTAGATATTTAAAGCAAGTTTTAATTGAGAGTAGGCCAATCTAAAGCACAGGACATATATTGTAATATTAGGAAATGTATGTCTGGAAAAGAAGTTTAAAAACATCTTAAATTCTCAGCTAATAAATTTATACCTTATCCTATAAGCAAGGGGGAATCAGTGAAGTGGGGATGAAATTGCAGGCTCAGAAGTATTGGGTTAAAAACGGTCTATGAAAGTGATTGCATCATGAGATGTACCAGTAGAACCATTGATGAGCACAACTTTGACATGGCCTGTTTCTCCTTACTTAGATGTATAGGTAGGAAGCCAGGTGTAGGCAGCATTCCCCTGCAAAGTGTCACTGAGAAAGCCTTCCACAATATCAACCTGAGATGATAGAAATGTTCTCTCTTTCCCATCATCATCCTACTTGTCTTGGCTGTAAGGCAGAAATTATGCCCTTTTCCTGAATTCGCCAACCTTGTGCCTCCTGCCTCCTGCTAATACTTTTCCTTTTCTTTGAGTCCAACTCTAACCCATCTCTACTTATTATTTCTCTCAGACAGTGAAATTTCTGAGACATTGTCACCTGGAGGTGGGAATGAAGAACAATGTCAAATGGGAGCTAAACCCTGAGATAGTTGCCCGCCACTTCCTCAAAAATGTGAGTGTATCTCTGCACCCTGCAGGAAGCCAGCCTGGGAAGGAGGCCCATGATTTATCCCTTTGTTAGGGACAGTGTTTTTGGTTCTGTAGGAGGGAAATGGCTAAGAACTGGGGTTGTTACATAGAATTTGAAAACTGATAGGAGAAGATGGTCATTCATTTATTTCCTCTCTAGCTAGGGGCAACCTGGGGAAATGTGATGTACTGAAGAGTTTCTTACTTTTGTGGATGAAGTGATTTTCGTCTCAGGCCTATTTCTCTTATTAATCCACTTCTCTTTCTGAGAAATTAGAACTGAGTTTCTCTGCACCCTCCTGTGGCATCAATGAGGGTAAACTCCCTGGTTTTATTCATCCTTGTGCAGGAAATTCTAGACTCTTATGAGGTTGCATAGAATGGCAGCCATGTAAAAGGAGTGCCTTTTGGGTGTGTTTTTCTTGCAGCTTGGTGTTGTGGTTGCCCCACATGCCGTAAAGTTACCAGAAGAGCCCATCACTCGGTGGGGCGAGTACTGGTGCGAGGTGACGGTGAGTGTTCCATCTACTGTCTCATTTTTCTGACTGGGTGAAAACCAGGGTGAAGAGCTGGGATTAGGTGATCTTATTTGCTGTGTGATCTCTAAGAATTCCTGTCGCTTTATGTACAGGTAAATGGGCTTGACACTGTGAAGGTACCTATGTCTGTGGTGAACTTTGAGAGGCCCAAAACCAAAAGATACAAGTACTGGTTAGCCCAGCAAACTGCCAAGGGAACAGCTCCCACCAACTCCCAGAGTATCTGAGCCTGCTGTCCCTGAAAACTGCCAAGCAGAATCAGAGGCGCAGGGGAGCAGAGGTGAAGCAGCATCTTGATCTCAGCCCAGCTCTGACCAAATTCGGAATTGTAGAGAGCACGTGGGGCATCAGACTGAACTGCACTTGTTGGATTCTCCATGTTTGCCTTCTCCATCCTCACTGTTCTCACATGGACCTTGTTGGGACAGCAAGAGCACCAGGCTATTGCTTGATAAGCTGAAGATTAAAAGACCAGAACAGTCTAGACTCTTATTTGGCCTCTTCCTCCATTGAAACTCATTGGAACAAATGGAAGAGCTAGCCATGTTCTCCAGTATTTGGTTTATGCTCATCATCCAGACTGAACATTTGTATCTCAAAAAGAAATAAAGAGCTTGTGTTCTTTTATGGTGGTGTTATTGGGCTTGAGGAGATAGGGCACAGGACATCCAAGTGGGGTGTCCTCTTGAGCCTTGCTGCTAAGAAGGAAGAAAAGAACACATCTGCAGGCTACCCTACAGTTAACGAACAAACTACTCAAACTACTCAAAGCGGTATCTTTGGGCTTAAAACTTAACCTCATTAGGTATGTTGATAACATCATTGGTATGAATAAGCACAATGGATTCTGTTTCTCTGAGGAGATCTGAATAAAGACCTAAGGGTAATTGGAGAAGATGAAGCAGAGATGCTTAAAAGAGGGAACTTCTATTTTGTTTCTTAAACCAGCTCCTAAAATTTTGGAAGACAACCTTAGTTTCCAGACCAAGGTTAAGATATGGGGCTAGTCATTAGGTAATTATGTCTTGACAAGTGAAGAAGGAAGTAGATCTAAACATGTTCAAGGTCCATTAGTGGAAAAAAGACTAATTGTTGACAAGTGGTTGTGCCGTTGCTCAAAATATAATGAGACCGTACAATGTAGGAAGGGTAAGGATTGGATCATTGACTCTTGCTATCCTTACCGCAAGCTCAGAGATTGTTTTTTGTCACCTTGTTGAGCTCAACTACTCCCAGCCACTTAAGCACTCTGATTCTCGTAAGACCTCCAATAATGAGAGGTTTCTTGTCAACGGTTGCACTGATAACTATGCTCAATCTCACACTTGGCAGAACTCTAACTTCAGTCTAGCACTGGTATTGTTTTAAATTTGCCTTTTTTTTTTTTTTTTAAAGATTTATTCATGCATACAAGAACTGGGATACAGGCCAGAGGTATGGGGTGTGAGAGGATCCACTAGAGACAGAGTGGGGAACAGAACAGGCAGAATGACCAAAATATACTGCTGAGGGGAGCAGCGGGCGAGCCAGGAGAGATCTGCTGCACCATGTAGGTATCTCCCTGGCCAGGGATCGAACTCGTGCTACAGTGGCTGCTTCATAGGTTGCGTCTTAACCCCTTGCGCCGCCAGGGAGGCCCTAAATTTGCCTTTTCAATGATTCCCATTCCTACTGTCCTTGCAGTGGAAAAGCTCGTTGAACAACATCTTTCCACATCACCATCATGAAGCTCTCTGAAATTGATCAATAGGCACAATCTTCCATACACCTAACGTCAAAAAGTGTGGTGGGGGCAGTTCCTGGTGAAACACTGGGTTGGAGATCTTGCATGGGGAAACTTTACCTGGGGGGCCCTCTGGATCAACACTTAGCAGGGGAGTGTTGGGTAGAGGGAGACATTGAGCATTCTCAACAAAGGCCTCAGTCTATCCCTCAGGGAGCTCAAGCTTCCTGCAGAGATATGTACCCTATTGAGGCAAGTGGCCAAACCTATATACCCACACAGTGATGGGAAAGGGGCAAGACTTGGGTGAGGAGACACGTCAGGCAAAGGAAAGCAGTTCCCAGAGGGCAATTCAAGATGAGCGTTACCTGGTGAGCATCCCCAGCAGCTTAGGGAATGATTGCTTCAGTCCTGAAGGGAAGAATTTGGTCAACACACCACAGTCTCCATTACAGGCAGCAAGAGCACTTGCTTTGTAAGTTCTAGAATGATTTCTTTGGGATTCTAATGGGCTGCTCTGGAAAAAAAGAAGGAAGATCTGGACAGACAACAGTCTCTGCTGCTGTAGCTTGTCTTAAATAATAACAGCATGTGTATCCCTCTACTAAGCATTCTAGATTCCTACCCACACCCCCTCAGCTTGCTGGTCCACTTAGGTTGCCTGATGGTTCCCAAAATTGATGTGCAGGTTTATTGCAATCATGGTCAAAATCCTAAATCTTTATAGATGTATACAAGATTATTCTAAGGTTTATATGGAAGGCAAAGAAGCTAGAATAAAATTATTTTGAAAAGATGAGTATAATATGAAGAATCAGTCTCCCAATTTTTAACTAATTTTACAACTAATCAATGCTGTGTGTTCTGGATAGAGGGACACATGAAACAATAGAAATCCCAGAAATGGACCCACCAACAAATCTGCCTGACTTTATTTTTTTGGACAAAGGTATCAGAACATTCACTGAAGGTAAAAATAGCCTTTCAACAAACCATAATGGAGGAATTAAGCAGCCATAGGTAAAAAGTGAAACAAACTAAAGTCTAAGAACTTATTCAAAAATTAAAATGACCACAGATTTAAATGTAAACCATGAAAATTTTAATAGAAAAAAAATCCTCAAAAAAAAAGAAAAAAAAAAAGAAAAAATCCTCAAGATCCAGGATTAGACACAAAGAGTTTTTAAATTTAACATGAAAAAAAGCATGATCCATAAAAGGGAAAATCAAGAATTTGGACCTCTTCAAAGTTTTTAAATTTGCCTTTGGAAAATCCATGTGAAGCGAACAAAAGGACAAACTACTGGAAAAAAAATATTTGCAAACCACACATCTAACAAAAAAACAGTATCTTGAGCATAAAAAAGAACTCTCAAAATTCAGAAAAAAGCACAATGGTCCAATCAGAAAATGGGTAAATTAAATGTAAATGGTCTAAATACACCAATTAAAGACAGATATTGGCAGTGTTGACTGAAAAATATGCACATATATTTCACCAAAAAGAAAATATAGGGGGAAAATAGCACATGAATAGATGTTCAACACAAACACAATCAGTCATCAGACAAATGCAAATTTAAGTAACAATGAGGTGTCACTATGAACCTATTAGAATGTCTACAATAAAAACAGTTACAATGCCAAATGCTGCTGAGGATGCAGAGAAACTGGCCAAACATTGCTGGTAGGAATGCAAAGTGAGGTAGTCACTTTGGAAAAGAATTTGCATAATAAACACATTTAAACATACACTTTTTTTAAAGATTTATTTATTTATGCATACAAGAGCTAGGGTACAGGCCAGAGGTGGGGGGGAGGTGATGGGAGGATTCACCAGAGACAGAGTGGGGAGCAGAACAGGCAGACTGATCACAGTACACTGCTGAGGGGAGCAGCGGTCGAGTCAGGAGAGGTCTGCTGCGGATAGCTTCATAGTTTGCATCTTAACCCCTTGCACCACTAGGGAGGCCCAATAATGATTTCTTTTTAAGGTTGGTTCAGGTGCAGACACCTGAACCTGAAGCTTCAGCAAGGACTTGTAACTTTACTAGGGTAGCTGCCCTCAGCCTCCTGATCACCCATGCTTGATTTCTTTTTTTTTTTTCTTTTTTTTTGCAATGTGATAGAATGATTTCTTAGCACCAATCTATGATAAATTTTATTAAAACAACCATTTGCGAGCCTCCCCGGCGGTGCAGTGTGTTGAGCACAGGGCTGTGAAGCTGTCTGCAGCCTCTGCAGAGAGTGTTCAATTCCCGGCCGGCGCAGCAGACCTCTCCTGTCACACCCTCTGCTCTCCTCAGCAGTGCTTTTGGTCTGTCTGCCTGTTCTGCTCCCCACTCTGTCTCTGGTGAATCCTCTCACCCTCCTGCGCCTCTGGACTGTACCCCAGCTATTGTATAAATTAAAAAAATATATATATACGGCCTCCCTGGTGGCTCTGGGTTAAGCACCGCACTACGAAGCAATCCGCAGCCTCTGAGCATGAGTTTGATTCCCATCCGGCCAGGGAGAAACCCACATGGTGCAGCAGACCTCCTGTCTCGCCCACTGCTCCCCTCAGCAGTGTATTTCAGTCAGTCTGCCTGTTCTGTTCCCCACTCTGTCTCTGGTGAATCCTCTCACCCCCCACATCTCTGGCCTGTACCCCAGCTCTTGTATGCATGAATAAATAAATCTTAAAAAAATGTATATATATGGCCATTGAAATTCATTGAGACCACCTGAGGACGACATACTGACATACCTCTGAGAAGCAAGCAGTACATTACAGGTGCCAAGTGGCTGGCTGCAGGTGAACAGACCACTGCACAGGGCCAGCGGGGGAGCGGCAGGCACTTCTGGCTCAGGCCGAGGCCAAGTGGGCATGCAGTGGCGCCCATCCTTGATTTCATTTTATGATACAGGTTGAGCAGTGTCCTTGGTGAGTGCCATGTCTTGTTCCCAAGAAAGTCATGTCCTAAGTTCTTCCAGAACTCTGTCAGACACTGCCTGCCTCCCACAGCTTTCTGCTCAGTAGAAATCATTAGCCATTTGGATTCCAATGCTTAGGCATCCAACACCCCCACCCCCACCCCACTTCCACATCCCATAGTCCCCGTTGCTATTGTGTGCCTGGTCTGTGGTGGCCCAGCCCTGAGCTTCTAGTGACACGGGCTCAGGTCACCGCCACATTCCTTATCACTTGAGAAAAGAAAGTAGCCTTTGGGCCCTCTGCGGGACTGACCATTTGGTGAGGTATACGGCTTTACTTGGCGTAGTCACTAATACGTCCACTGGTTGACCCTCCTACCATGTGCCGCAGCAATTCTGTTGCAGAGTAGCCAGGCTCAGCCCCCACCACGCATAAACAATGTGAGAAACAGGAGCCGGGGTTAGGAAAGCTAGGTTACTCAGAAATCTGCTATTTCTAGGGAGATGGACTCATTCCGCAGAGAAACCAATCTCGGGGCTCAGGGTAGGCTTTTTAAAAGAGGCTGAGTCTTGGTTGGTCAGAATGACTTGCAGAAGATGCGGTGAGATCCTAGCTCCATGATTCATTTGTCAACAAGACGCTCCTGGGGAAAGCTAGAGGTTTGCTTAAGGCCTTTTAGGGGAGTTCACATGGTGATGATTTTTTTTTTTAATATTTATTTATTTGTCCATACAAGAGCTGGGGTTAAGGCCAAAAGTACGGGGAGTGGCAGGATTCACCAGAGACAGAGTGGGAAACAGAACAGGCAGACTGACTGAAATACACTGCTGAGGGGAGCAGTGGGTGAGAGAGGAGAGGTCTGCTACATCATGTGGGTAGCTCCCTGGCAGGCGGGGGATCGAAGTGGTGCTGCAGTGGCTGCGGACATCTTCATAGGTTGCGTCTTAACCCCTTGCGCCACCAGGGAGACCCCACATGGTGATGATTTAAGGGACAAACAGTATTGTAAAGGCCACAATAATGGCTCACTGAGACATAGGCCTTTTTTCCAGGTTGTACTTGTTGTGCTTTCACTTCTACTTGATTAAAGTAGGCTGACACTCTCTCCAGATTTCCCAGAACTTTCCGTCAGGATATTGGCTGCATTTCTTGGGGTCCTTGTCAAGAGTATGAGGCCCTGGATCAGGGGAATATACTCTGCCTTAACAAACTTATGTCCCCCGCCTAGATCCAACTATCAGATCAGCCCAGGCCCCCTCTCCTGGCTCGGACGGGTACATTCTGGCCGGGCTGTCTAGTGCCTCC